CTCCCTCCTCTTCTCCATTTCCATCCACCACCTGTACGCATGACTCGCTTATGGGTAATGTAATAGCAGTAAAATGTTAACAAGTAGATATAAGATGCATAATTGAAGAAATCTATATATATATATATATATATATATAGTGGAAAGCTCCAATAAACTTAAGTGGATAGGAAATAGTCAGCCACCAAGTTTTTTATCCATTAATGTTGTCTTGGGATCCATGAAAGATATGAAGAGTCTTTTGAGATTTGTGCATCTCTTGATAGCACAAATCTAAACACAAGATGAGTGGATAAAAAGTTTGGTGAACAATGTCTCCTATCCACTTAAGTGAATAGTGAGCTATATATATCATATATAATATATGATATATATATATTATATATTATATATTAGAGAGAGAGAGAGAGAGAGAGAGATATGGGTATGTTTGGTACCAAAGCACAAATTTTATGGTGTTAGTGAGGTGACACAATCCCCTCCACTCATTCAAATAGGGGACCACATTCACATGGGTTGAGGAGTGCATGTGGATATGCAACCATTTAAATGAGTGGAGGGGATTATGCCACCTCACTACCAAGCACAACTTTTTTGTGCTTGGACTAAGCGATACCTATTTTTCTCACTCACACACACACACACACACACACACACACACACACCACACACACACACACATATATATATATATATATATATATATATATATATATATATATATATATATATATATATATATATATAACGCATAAAAAATCAATAACATGGTTAGCGACTAGAGTCTCACTTTGGTGTGAAAATTTTATATAAAAAATTTTAAAAAATTGTGATACTTGTTTATCAATGAGAATATAATAAATTTCCCACTTTATAAGGGGTAGCGAATGTGTGTTGCACGGAGATGTGTTCCATACAAAAGAAGATATTTGGAGGAAATAATTGACCATTACAGAAACTAATCATAATATGACCTAATTAATTTGTTTCTTGCATTAATTACAGACAATCATGCTCACCTCCCAAGTACGACCATGTAACAAGATAATGTGCTTTAACATAAACAATTATTCCATATCTCACAATAGAAAAACTTTAAGCAAGCTAAATGATCAGCATTGGTTTCTGAGTATGGCATTTAAATAACATATTTTAGAATTAATAAAACTATAATCCTCGACCCTTGTTAGAATTAATATAAAACTACAATCCTCGACCCTCACTACGACTTCGGAGTTTTGGTGTAATAGTTAGAAGGACATAATTTAAGATAGTATCAGAGCAATCTAGGTTTAAATCCCACTGACCACGAATTTAAAGCAGATTTTTTAAAAATTGACACTGTTACCTGAGTTTAGGTTTCGACCCATAAAAAAGGGCACTCAACTACGGGGGCATATTAGAATCAATATAAAACTATAATCCTCGATCCTAGTCATAACCTCAGAGTTTTGGTGTAATGGTTAGAGGGACTAAATTTAAGAACATAAATGACGGGCACTAGATTTCATAAAGGAGTGATCCCAAACTGCAGAATATTGCTTCAGCCAGGAGGATAAAAACACGCTCATAACAACATGCTCCACAAATGGTCGTATATTAGAAAGAAAGAATAAGCCATTTTTTGTGTGCACACGGGCATGAATGTGTATTGCTGTAATCTTGTGTATGTTTCGAACAACAGAAAATGATCATATATCGACATATGGTTTCCACATTGAAACAAGAGAAAAAAAAATATTAAAGATGACATGGTCCGCAAATGAGCAAAGACTAATGTTCAATAATAGCTCAGAAGCAAAACTGGCTTTTCCTGGGGTTTTCTAACTATCAGCTATCTCAGCTTGGATCATATTCCCCAACTCTACTCATGGAGAACAGAGGTGGAGGAAGTTATGGAAGCAAGCAGAAAACAGGCAGAAAACAGACAGAAAACAAACAAGAAAAAATATATAAGGATTTTTATGGCCTCACATATATGTGGTCTCACACCACAACGCCAGTTAATGGCCTCATACTGCCTATAAACAACTCTAGCAAGTTCCTATAGAAGTAATTTCTTTCATTAGCGTAAATTCATCAATACATCCAACTGGTTGCATGAAGGCTAGCCTTTTTTTTACAGTAAATACTTGCTTGGGACCTTAAAACTAGATCTAGATAATTGTGTGAATCTCTAAATGACTGAAAAGAATTTTTTTTTTTTTATTCAAGCGTGCATAATTAGAAGATTGCATACAACTAAAAGGTATCAAATATGTTCTTGTCTAAAAATAAACAAATGTCCTAGATTCTTAACCGAATTCTTTTGTTTTCCAATAACCACTTCTAATTCAACTCTAAACCTAAAACAACACAATACACTATCATGAGATTCTTTTGAGTAAAATCTCCTCTTGATGGACAAAACCCAATCTCAATAGAATGGAACAAAGAACCTCAAATGAACAGGTTGGAGTTGAGTTGTGCTTGGTTTCCAACTGGTGGAAAAGGTTCCATCAGAGATCATCCTATTTTTGTGTCGTTCTTGGTTTCCAACTGGTTGAGAAAGTTCCACCAGAGATCGTCCTATTCTTATGTCAATTTTCCCTCCTGCTAAAAAATGATGCCCTTAGTGGGAATAAAAAACTTATTTCTGATCGAAGACTTGAATAATTGCATACTGTCCTTCATTAACTGTAAAATTTCCACGCTTCAAAATGATGGAAAAGTGGCAAAAATACAGTGGACGGGAACTGAATTAGAGGTTATTTTGTGTACTTTATCTAGCAAAGAAGATGGTTTTTCTGGTGAGGGGAACCGAGGGGAACTACAGGCTTGGAGGAAAAAACAACGGGTTTAGAAGAGATAGTGGCAGATTCATTGTTGGAGATAGTAACAGAAGAGGCTCAAATACACGCTCTTTCTCTGTCTCAGATAGTGAAGAAAGACTATATATGGAAGAGAAGGAAAGTACATAATTTTTCAAGTCTATCCTACATATCATATGAACCCATCTATTCAAATCGGACATTATTTTTTAGAGTCCGCTCATGCAACATGCAAGGATCGGGGTGAGAACCAAGTATTGTCTAGCTAGTATCAATGAGCAAGTACATGTGTCAAAGTTAAATGTACCATAAATCAAGAGTAACAATGAAAAAGGTACCATGTAGGTAGGAAGGCATCGCCTCGGTATTGATCTTTGCTTAAAAATCATAATATAAAAATCCAAATGAAGAAAAAATTTACCAACTAATATTGACAAACAACATATTTGTAACAATACCATACCTCATGACCTAAATCTCCATTTTCAAGAGGCAAGTCTCCTTCATCCGCCTGCATGCTTTTGAATGCTTCCACAAGATTCACATTCAACTTTTCAGCATGAACCGGATATTCCTCTGCAGACAGGTAGGTGCCCCTATTGTAACATAAATCCAGAATACATTTAGCTTTCAAATTGTTAACCTCTGTTGAATTGTTGTTTTGTCTGTTTTAAAGAATATGGACATAATTATTGACTGAAACATATTAGGCTATGATGAGATCAGGATTTATAAGGACAACTGACTATGCTTGCAATGATCAATTTTCATTGACCAGCACAGGCTGCAATATGACATATCATGGCCCTAAAATACAAAATTACATACATGAAAATGTAGCTATCATTTAGTCATACTATTTTCAAAATTTATCCAATAAAGATTGACCTGTTTTAGTAATAGCTAAGCACTGTTTTTGCTGCTGCTAATCAAATGAATGTGTTCTATTAAAACTAATTAAGTGATGTCCAGTAACAGTAAGTGACAAAATAAACAACAGAACAATCACTAAACAAGGACTTCATATTGTCAAAGTACTATTCAGAAGATACATGTCTAAAATAATTCCTATATAGAACACACAAATTATAAATATAACAGCAAGACAGAGATGGAAAGTTCTATGCTGAAAGCTGTCTGTATATCCATGACAGCATACCAAAAGAAATGTAAGGCCAGACGAAAACCTTGTAACACGAACCTGTTCTGTGCAACATTAGACTCCACAGCAAGTGCAACCTGCCAGTCCTCAAATAAATTTGAGTACTCTTCAGGATCAGCCAAAGACTCTGCCGCCTTGGGATTGACCTTTGCAAAAAATGCAAAGTAAGAACAAATCAGGACAAACCATTTAAGCTAATGAAGTTACTAAAAATATGAAGCCAACAAAATAAAGTATATTTTGATTAACAATAAATGATATTGGATGATCTTTCATTTATCCTGTTGTTTTAGATCGGAATGCTATTATAAATGAATATAAGAGATAACAATGACTAAACCTTATTGAGATCTTTCTTCCAAATTGCAACAATCTCTGAGACTTTGCTTGGAAGATATGAACGAGCCATCAATGCAGCTTCCGGTATACGGTTGCTATAAAGTGAAAGATGTCACCATTAACATTTGAAACCACAAGATATCAAGATTTATAATCTAACATGAAACTTTTTATTAAAAAGCAAATATTACCTATCCACCAACAAGTGAAGACAGTCCTCCAATTTACCTAACAAAAACAAACAAAGGAAGGCAACGTTGTTCTTCCCTTGCTCTTTAGCAAGAGAGGCAAGTCTAGTGATTCCTTCAGCATCACCGAAAGCAGAATAAAGAAGTAACAAGCCACTCAAATCCATGGCATGTGATAAGCATTCCTCCGCCATATCTAACTGCAGAAACAGGGACAGCAAGGGAAATGCAGTAACTTATAGAATAAGGCCTTATCAAGAAGTATAAAGTGGGGCATGTAAATGCATTCATCAAAGAAGAAGCATATAAGGTGGAACCAGAGTATAATCAACAACCCACAGAATGACTAAACAAAAAGAACGGAAAAGTAATACAACAAATAAATAGGAACGATTTTGAAGTTCATCATACACTAGTAATATTTTCCATTTTTGTGTGTTTTCTACAATCCTACAGCACAGTAGTTGAATCAACAAATTTTATCACATAATAACTAAAGGAAACATGCAATTAATGATTAAGGAAGACAACTAATGTAGTATGCCAAAATAAATAAAGTTTAACTCATTTTTTTGTCATACGAGAGTTATCTATATAGGAATAATTACAGGGGTTTTTCTGTAAAGCTCATAAATCTCTCACCATGAGCTCCCAAGCTATCAGTTAAAGCAGTTTCGGTGGCAAAACTGAGACGGCACCTCCTCATGAAAATAGACAAAAGAAAAGGAAAAAAAAGAAAGAAACCATTAATCTTTCCCAACTCTTAGTCTGTTTTTTCTTCAAGAAACAGAGAGAAACAGAGAGATGGGGAGAGAAGAAATTTGAGAAAGATTGGGATAAGAAGAGGAAGATGGACAAGTGCAACTTAAGGTATAACCTACTTACTTCTAACCCAATTTATTCTAAAAAATGTAAGGAAATCAAATGATGATAAGAAATTAAATTGGGTTTGAGTGTTGATTTTTGATTCCTGATCGCCGGCAAATCCTCTGCCGTTGAATAACCACCAGGCCGATGTCCCATCACTCGCTGCCAATTGAGGAAGGAGATGGGGGCTGGTCTTGGAGCCTGAAAAAAAAACGGAGGGAAAGGAGAAAAGAACGAACAGAAAAAAGAAATGGGTGAAGACGAAGAGTCGGGTATTTGAGAGGAAGATATAGGGAAAGGGGAAATTTTATCCTAGACCCTTGGCTCATAAAACTTTTCATATGAGCCCAAACCAAGTAAAAGAGGTTACATTTTAAATAGGAAAATTTGTCTTAGCCCATGATACTCCCAATTGTAAATAAGTCCAGTCAGAGTAAATTAGAATTATAAATGAATTTGTGTTATAGAATTTGTAATAAATGTGTGTGAGCCTTTTAAGAATCTTGACTAGCATTTAATATTCTGACTAACTACTATGAAATGAATGAATAAGGACTTGACAATATTATTGCAATACTATATTATAGGACCAAAGTGATATCAAAAGAGGACTTGGGAGTGACAAACTCTGTCGGTTAACAGGTGAGTTCATTTCTCACTAGTATTTTTATGATATAAATCACATGATTATTATATTTGATTGATCTTGTGCTCAAGAGATAATTACTCTATTATTTTCAGACATATAAAATGAAATGTGATTTGACCTATACTATGGTGGTCTATCTCCATGATATGATCTTGATTTCATAATAGATATGGAAGATAATTTTTTATTCCATATAAAATATGAAAAGAAATTTGATTTCATATAGAATGTGATAGGTGATATTGGTTCTCATGCAATATCAAATAAATGTAATTTTTGTTTAATCAAAAACTATTGCAGCAAGAAGTATTTTAAATGTACAGCAGTCAACTGATTCAAGATATTTTCCCATTATTTGGTATTTGAAACAAAAATTAATAAAATTGAATTTTGTGAACTGTTTTACTGGTATGATGAGTTTTACACTCGTCCATTTGATTGAAATTTATACCAACATTACTTTGGTACAACTGATGTGCTCTCGAAATCAAGCAATTTGACCAGTGATGTGCTTTCCAAGTCGAGCAATTTGACAAGTGATTCTTAATGTTTTCAAACCCTCAAATAGTCCACTATGAAGTGATGTGTTTTTGTCTGTCATACGGTGAATGCACCTTTATGTTGCCCTTTTGGGCATTTGTGATGTGACCAGCGGCCTATGGTAGTATTAGGTGCATTTTATTCCAGAGATTTATGTGTTATGTGATGTCTTTCGGCATTATCATGCTATTGGACTATAATTTGTAGCCTTAGTGTGATCTATGAAATGATTCTTGCAACTATGTAAACAACTCATTGAAGCCGAATTTGAGGAAACAGTAGTTTCTTGCTTTACACAAATTTTTATATTCCATTTTCCTAGTGTTTATCTCGATTCCAAAAGTTTGATTCAATAATTCATAAGGATGTATTCAGTTTGCAAGTAAGAGAGAAATTTAAGTTACTTGCATTCTTTCTCGAAAATACTAATAATGTGTTCTTTTATACAATATTTTTGTCATCTTAGAATCACATGTGCAAAATTTATAATTCCCTATCTTGAGAATTATATCTTGTTAGGTACCTAGAAACCCTAGTGAGAAATATTCTCACTGGGCTTTAGCTGATCTCCTCATTTTCAAAAAAAATTCAAAATTTGCGTACACGTGCCAACTAAATATTTGGGATGAAGGCATTGCTAAGAGGCGTCCTAGAGAAGCCTCATTGTCGCCTATGTGTCTAGCTAGACAGTATATTTTGGTTTTGTAATGTGCTTGTGACGATGTACTAATTATGTATAAATAGTTTGCTCTAAACTTCTATAAATAGCAGGTTTTATATATTTTGTGAAAAATCTACGTGATAGAGCGCCAGGCTTGACACTTGCATCAGACTTGTCTTGCACACGGGTTGTTACTGTCGCACGTCCCCTATCTTATCTTCCGCTATTATTTTGGGGCCTGTGACAGCTAAGCTCAATGTAATCTACTGAATACAACTTTAAACTCTGAGAAACTGACTCTAGTTCAGAAGTTGATTAGTTGACTATGGCAATTAAATTTTTCCTTTACAATTTCGAAGTGAACTCTAATATTAAGAGCTTGAAGTGTGGAAGAGTGTGTCATATGAGTGTGTGAAGGTGTAAAATATGGAAGAAAATTATATGGCTAGTAAAAAAACAGAATTATCTAAAAGTAGAAACCTTACCTTCCCATTAGACATTGCAAGCTTTCCTAGCTGCTTCCATTTTGACTCGCTTTGGACCTCCAAAGCTATAGCCTGCAGAGCTAACTTTCCTCAGGTAGAGAATAGATTTGAATACTTGATCTAACATTAAATTGCAGAGCAACCCAAAAGGCTGCAATTGCCAGATGGTGTCAATCAACTCGTAAAATACCTGTGCAATGTCCAACCGCTCAAGCTGCACAGCAAGATCGAATCTGTAATTAGGATCTGTTGCCACTTCCAAAGCATCCTCTGGCATGCCTCGAGATTCCAAGAAATGGGCCACACTGGAAACGGTATGATCATCAATATAATGGGTTACAAGTAATTTTATACCACTAAAAAGGGAATCCAAAAAAGTTATTTCTAAAGGTATGAATCTTTGGGAACAGACCTTAAGGTATGGAAGTCTTGTGAATCGATCTGTACTTAAGTAAATGTGAGTCAAGTGGAGTGTGAAGACCTACATATGTTAGTTTTACCTACTTACGCAAAACAAAGTTTTTTGGAACATTTTATCTCATCTACAAGCATATAGTTGTAACAATTAAATTGCATCCACAAACCTTCCACATCACAAAGATAATAAGTTAAAGACTAACTAACGCTTAGATGAGTTTAATAGTACAGCCCATAACCTATTATTCAAACGGAGAAATTAGATCTCGGCAAATGCAGAAACACCAAAATACCTGTTGTGATGCTCCTTTGGAATTGACTGCAAAACTTCATTAGCACGATCCAGATCCCCACGCATCACTAGTGTTTTATATTCAATCAAACTAAGTAATAAAGTGTACCCCATAACACTGCAGTGGGAAAAATCATTATAAGCCACAGACATGTGAGAACAGAAACTTCTAAGAACATAGCTGCTTAATAGACTCACTTGAACTCCTTGTCAATGAGATACACCCTACTCTGACTAGCAAGATATCCCAACAAGTACATAGGCCGGTCCAAGTGGAACATGGTGGTAACCTAAAATTAAACAGAAGGAATATGCATCATGCAGCTCCACCAAAAACTGTGTGACCAAGTTAAACATCTCCAGCACTGTAAATATATAAAAAGGTACCTCTCCACCAACACAGTAATTCAATCTTCCTGAAGAATTATTGTAAATGAAACAGTCCCCAACCCATAGTCCAGTTCGCACTCGCTCATCTATTTCATGAAGTGTTTCAAAAGCATCCTCAACACCTTGTTCATCCAACGTATTACCACTTTCAAGATAAGAAGATACAATGTCTCCCTGTAGGAAATTTAATCTTTCAGTCAGCGTTTTCTAAGTCAATACTAAACTCCAGAGCACGTACCCAGAAGCATTTTCCCAAAGCAGAATACATTCTAGTTAAGTGCTAAGACTATGTAAACAAACTTACATTATACTTAAGACTATGTAAACAAACTTACATTATACTTTAAAATGTAGGAGGAGGAATCACTCGCTATCGTAAGTAGGTCACCACTATCAGCCCAATAGAGATTCTGAGAGACAAAGGCCAAGAAGGAATAGTCATAAGCTGGAAAATATCTGAACATGAACACTACAAAGTAAGTCCAGAAGATGCTTACTTTGACATTAACATCAATACGACGTATCAATCTGCATTCAGCCCAATCATAAAAGCAAATGAAGTCATTTGTGCACATTGCAAGCAAAGCTCCCCCAAAGATGCGTTCAGCAGAAAAGGTCGGTCTTATGCTTTTCCTCTCCTGAAATTATCGCGATCAGTTAAACTTCACAAGAACTAGAGTTTGAAGTTCAGATTTTTGTGCTACCAAGGGCTGGGAAGATACAAAACAACATAACATGATAAGTTAAAGCTTTCAGAAAGAATGACAAATCATCTAATTGCATGTGTGGACATGGATAAAATGAAACTAACATGCATCGCAACAGTCTGGTTATATTTCCACCTGATCTGATCAGATCTTGAAAAAGGAGGGTGTGGGGAGGCAAGCTTCATTCATGGATAAGTCTATTGAGCAAATACTAAATCAGCATGCCTTGATGGGCGTCTCTCTAGTAAATGCACGCCAAGGTTTATGTAAGAATTCGTTTTTGAAGTGGTTTTGCAGCAAAGGTATAGCACAGGCCAGGAGTTAGAAGCTAATAAGGTCAATGTAGGTCAAATGTAGGATAAGGGTGTATTATTAAAAGGAATAGAGTATGTGATAAGTGGTGTCTTGCACAACTGAATATGGTCTATGATGGTACATGAAGCTAGAGCTGAATCTTACTGGGAAAAGTAATAAAGCTGCAAGTCCGGTTTTCAATGCAGTGGACAAAGTGCTTTCCATAGTATTTGAAGCCAACTAATCTCATAATTGAGCAATTAACAAGTAATGAAAGAAAGGACAACAATTAGGCTTTCAGGAAGTACAAACAATGGTTCCGAAGCATTTCAGGACAACTACTCATCAGTGAAGACGTGGAATTTCCTTTAGGTCATAACTGGCGAAATTAGAGCAGTAGCAAAATAGCAAGATATGCAGAATCGACTATCCTGAAGACCAATGTGCTCTTTCTCTTAGAAAGTGTCTGGTTTGACCCCGTCATGTAGTACTCTACCATTATTATCAGTATTGTATTAACTGAGGTCAACTATGGAGCATATTTTAGAATATACAAGTTGGAAAAAGCTCAACAAGAAGAACAATTATGATAATGATAGTAGTAATAATAATAAACCAAGTATGTAAAAGCATTGAGGTATAGTCAACATGACTCAACCTTCCACAAGTGGTTCCATATTTATGTCAACTAAAAGAGATAGAAGTAATTTTTTTCAAATTGAGTTCTTACCACTTCTGTAAATCGAGACCCCTTGCGGCAAATTACATAACTAGAAATAAGAACAATTTGTCTTACTATATATGTTAGGAGTATAAGTTATAGAAACTCTACATAGGTTCCATATATGGTGGGCTACCTCCACCCCCACCTCAGGAAAAAAAAGAAATGAAGAAGGGAAAGAAAGGGAGGGGAAAAAAAGAGATACAATGTAGTGTTACCTGGAAGTTTTTGCTGAAAATTTTAACTCTTGATGTACTTTCCCTGACTGCGTATTCACCGTCAGATGACCATACAAACTCGAGAGCAGAGCCAAAAGATCTGTTTCTCCATGCCAGCGCTGTATAGATAATGTATTCACCATCTCCACAGACAACCACAAATCTACCATTGCGATTATGCTTTAAGCTCTGCAAACACAAGAGAACAAGTAAACTTCAATATAAACCACCAAGAAAATGTCACGAATTGTAAACAGCAAAAATTAAATTAATATTCCAGCAATTTATGATTGCAGCTAAAGCCTATAGGCTAGATACCCTAATCCAATGCATGGTTTCAAGAACGAAATAACCTAAGAAGGAACAAGAAGAAGAACCTCCAAGCTAAAGTTCGTGACAACTCTGGGAAAAATGGATAAGCATGAATACAGAAACAGGAAATGTTATGGATGTGTTGATGTATAAATTCTTGCCCCCAAAGATTTCAGTGACTTGTGTTTGTAGCCATGGATAGAAATTCTTCATAAATTAAAAGACGATATACAGGAGATAAATAGGTTATCATAGTAACGCATTGCTTACCTATATGCACTTTTTATCCGTGAAAACAAGAATCTAAAATGACACGATCAGAAAAGTCAGCAAATGACTTAAAACAAGAATAAATAAACCAGTACCTCTTTGCATTAGTCCAAAAGATCAGACCAACACAAAATATCATTTCTCAAATTCATTATGCTAGAGATAATAAAGACTTGGATAACAATGGCATCATAGTCACGAAACCATGTTTAAATTGTTCATGAGATAAACAAAAGAAAATACAAGGAAATTGTACTAATCCTAATCTTTCACAAATTCTTTTGCTCTCCTTTCTCCATTTCCATGTAGAGCGATGTAACAAACCATGGACTCCTTGAACCTTTTTATACCCCCATTACCGAATCTTCCGCTAAATTACAGATCAATATACTAACTTCACAATATAAAGTTTTTGACGTCAGCTATAGCAACTTTCAGATCGAGATATTCTATAAGAAGATTAAAAAAAAGTGTGGGTTGACTCTAGGGGCCACAAAATTGAAGAAAAGGTTAGGGGGTGAAAAGAATTTCAGGAACACCCCAGGGACCTAAAAAAACATTTCCCTATCTAGATGTCTCTATATGTATTCATCTCCCTTCAAAAGGAAGGGAACAGTTTTTGAAAACATACAAGATATCCTGTATCATTGATTGCAAATCACTATGTGATAAGATATAACTGAGAGGCTAAGGATCAAAGCTATTCATAAGACCCCCTGCTTCCAGGAAACAATGGCATTGTCGGTATCCTTTGGACTTCGGAGTATTAATTCACTCATAAATTCAAAAAGATCAAGTAGGTGGGAAAGTGCACTCCAGGATGAGGTATTAAGGAACTCACTTGTGGATAGAGGTCACAGCTCCCCAGCTCCTTAACAGCCAAAGGCAATCTTTCACCATCTGTAACCTGAAAGAAATTTTGATAAAAAATTTTCATTAACTGTAGAAAATATCTTTTTTTTTTATTTTTTAAGATATGTTATATAAACTGACCTCATACTCTGCCCCAACTGTCTTGATATTGACAGTTTGGACTTCGTTATGCTTTGCCCATATGATCTTACCGCTGTTGTCCATACTAGCTACTGGCACTTCCCGTCCAAGTTTAATCATTATGGTTCCTTCATCATATCCAATTACTACTCTGCAAAATTTACCAACCAAATAAGAAAACAGCTCGTAATAAAGTATCACAGAAACCAAGACTTTCTGCAAACTAAGGAACAAGGAAGAAATATGCAGCATATCAATTATAGTGACATGAAACATCTCATTAGTTTGTTACAATATCATGTTTGCTTTACAAGGAATACTAGAATAATTTCCATGATATAGAAAATTAAGCAAGTTAAACAAAGAGGAGCTTAGACTCAACGAATTACCTCCTTGAACCTTTCAAGTACCCCACAGCCCAAACTCGCTCAAGACCGTAATTTAATGTGTTCTCAAGTCTGCCAATAAGAAAAGGAGATTAAACTAGAAATTAGAACACAATATGGAATCCTTCAATTGCGTAAATCAATAACTAAAAATGAAGCAAACTGAATGATAGATCTGAAATATCTTTCTTAAGGAACTTTGGCATATAAGTTTATTAAGACCAAAAGTCTTTAACACAGACAAAACATGTATACATAATACAGCAATTCCTTAGAAAGTCGGATACGATAAAATCATGCTAGAATATAGATGTGTGTCTATGTATGTAAGCATGGATGTAAATGTAAGTATATGTGTTGCATATATATGTATATATATATGGTTGTGTGTGCACATGCATGCATGTGTATACATATATACACATACATATACTTACATATACATGCATGCATGCATACGTACATATATAATAAAAAGAAAGTGCCTAAATAAATACATAGTACATAGACATTAGATGTTCAAGTATATATATGTTTCTATTAATAGAATAGCATCCAATGGTTACATACAAACTAAAATTTTAACCTTTCATATACTTCTATAACTTTATAAATCTTTTTCCCTTTAACTTCCCATAGAATATCCCAAGACGCCACACTTCTCATACAGAAACATATCTAAACCTGTAACATTTTAATGCCAATACTCTGGCGGCCTTTTTACACCAAACAGAATCTTCGATATTACAAATTTTGAATAAATAACTCAAACATGCAATGCAAACAACGAATTGTTTGATAAATGTAGGATACATGTCCAAGAACTTTACAATAAGTATACTAAACTAGAAATTATATCATACAATTGGAATGCCTAAAAATTATCAAACATGCGTCCAAGGAGTGTCCAAGAACCATTGGTGTGTCTGACATGTGTTCGATTTGACCAACATGGGTACATCTTAATGCAAGAAGTGTCCATGCCACATGAACACAGCTAGTGCAATAACCATTAGTTTCACTTCAGATCACTTAATTTGGCTACTTACAACATAGAATAGTCAGGTAAATATGACATACACAAAAAAATGTCATTATCATCTCCCAACAATGGAGCGGAGACATTATAGAAGTGCTATTGTGCTAATAAAAATATAGTTTGTCTTTGACCTGACCTACCAAATATATTATATTTTAGATTCGGTTGCAAAGTATTCTACCATGACATTATACTTTAAACTTGGATTCACTGTTATAAATAGCGGTAAATAGCCCCACAATAGCGGCGCTAATAGCGTTAGCAGTCCCTTCCCGCTACGCTATCGCCCAATAGCGATGACATATTGCGGAATATGCGCTTTCCGTTCGCAAAAGCGGCCAATAGCTTGCTATAATGGTAAATAGCGGGTGATTGCGTGCAAAATCCACTTTTTGACTGTTATTTAAAAGCGGTTTGAGGTTTATTTTTTTAAAAATTAAACTTGGCCATTGACCACTGCATTCCACCGCCTCTCGCGATTTTCGGCGTACTCCTGTCGCCTCTTGTAACCTCTGGCACCTAACTCAGCACTTCATCTCACCTCTTTCACCGTGAGCCCTCCTAGGGTAGTCCTCTCATCGCTCAGCTTATCTTCTCAAAGACGACGACTCTTTGACTTCTCCTCTAGTCGTCTTTGGTATTATGTGACGGTTACATGTTTATTTCATGTTTAGGATCTCTTTAAATCATCAAATATGCACTTTTAGATTTCTAGGTTTTTCTTTAATCTTTTTTTAGTATTTATACATATCTAAATTAGATCGCTATTTGATTTTGCGCTTTTTACCACTATTTTGCCGCAATAGCCCCAAAGAGCCTTAGCGATGCCTCACCGCTACACGAC